ACAATAAAAGCCCAGAAATACCTTTGTTAGATGAAGTTACTGCTTTATTTGTGTTCTCCCAACACATAGTACAAGATATGGCATAATTAGGCCATATGAAGACAATACTGAAGGGTAACAGAAAACACATTAAACTCCTGTATGCCTTTTATAGAAACAAAGGGTGAAAATATCCAACATATCGAAACAGTATAGCCAAACAAACCTGAATTTCTCCTCCACTCTCAGGACTGGATCATTGCTCCAGAAGGATATGCAGCATACTATTGCGAGGGAGAGTGTGCCTTCCCGTTGAACTCCTACATGAACGCCACAAACCATGCCATTGTGCAAACACTTGTGAGTAACCATAGAACGAGGGGAAAAAATGCAGCAGTCATGTTAAGAGTCTAATCATCTCATCAAATGTCAAGACAATGTAGCCACTGTTGGAACAACTGTGTTTAATTATCCAAAAAGGGCATCATTTTCAGCAGTATCCACGCAAATACCTTTTTTTTCTTCTTCTTCACAACTTCTTTTCCTCCTCCTCCTCTTCCCAGGTTCATTTCATTAACCCAGAGACAGTTCCTAAACCCTGCTGTGCCCCCACGCAGCTCAATGCCATCTCTGTGCTCTACTTCGACGACAGCTCGAACGTCATTCTCAAGAAATACCGCAACATGGTGGTCAGAGCTTGTGGCTGCCACTAGACCATCAGCATCCTCGCATGGACACATGCGTACGCACACACTCTTGGGAAAAAAAGGGCTTCCCCCTTGCTGTAATTTAAACATGTTGAGAGTTGGTTACAAAATATACTATGTGCTTTTTTTTTTTTGAAGACTCTCTGTCATTCTCAGATGAACAGATAAACACACACACTCATGTTTGTGCTTTCTACTGTGTATACGATACATTTAAAACAGTGATTGTAATGTATATTCATTCACACCCAACAATCTTTTGTTTATTTCAGTAATTATTCTAATTATTGTAGTTTATACTTTTACTGAGCGAGGGAGGATGAATCTATATTTTTCTTCTATGTACAATACCATGTAAATATTTTGTTTTTTCAAAAACAAAGCAAGTGTATTTATTTTCTGTCACTTGGATTTGTGTTTTTTTTTTCTTCCTTTATGTAAAGCTGCCTACTTCCTTTGTCAGTATGAGTGCACACAAACTCTGAAGAAATGAAAAGAAAACTACTTTTGGCATTAGCATTGAGTTCAAATACGGCACACGGCGCTCTGCCTCAGAAGCATGACACATTTATTTTGTAACAACAATCAGCTGAGCTGTCAGAGAGATGGGGGGAGGAAGAGAGTGGGATCTTTGTATGAAGCATCTTGTTCTGTGTGCTCGACATTTTCAGGTTTATATTTTTCTGCTGTAATACAATCTGTCATATTTAAAAGGTCTATTTATTGAGAGCCGGCTAAGTAACCATGTGCTCCAATGTCTCGACTATGTTTCACTGCTGAACTGGTACAACAATAAAGAGGAGAAAAGCAACAAAGCCACTTTGAGATTTATTGTTTAATCTGGACGGAGAGCAGAACTGTGTCCAAGTCTGAGGAGGACACACGCTGGTATTGAACTGTCTTACACGTTCCTGCACAAATATTTGCTCGGATTGTAGCCTCACCCTTCACCTGCTGACCTGAGATCTGTAAGAAGTTTTTTCCACATTCAAAAGCAAACTAAGAATTTCTCAGGCTTAGTTACTACGTGTGTGTGGGTTTGCATGCCTGTGTCTGTGGTTTACGTATATGAGGTGGATGTGGGTTGTTTTCTGTCGGCGAGTGTGCGTCGATGCTCCCACATGCATTCAAGTACAAAGCACACTGGGTTTACGTGTAAATATTTTGCAGTGGTTGCTGACAGCGGATTTGGGGAAAATGCAGAACGCTTGTGCGCATCGGTGTCAAGCACGCTGCACCGACTTTTACATTTAAACGATGCGATCCGTGACACGAGCTTTTGTTTTCAGATTTCAGATTCAGATTCAGATTCATTAGGACAGCTGTTCATTTAACTACACAGCAGTTTCTGTTTCCAAAGCATTGGAGCTCTTACAGTATATTGAGAACTTTTACTGAAAGGGCTGATGAAAACAAATAAAGAGTTACGTTATGTGCAATTCCCTGCACACCTGAATGAGTGGAGGAAAATTGTTAAAAACAGCTGAGTGGAACTTCTGCACACTTGGTTAAGTGCTGGGTACTTTAAAGAAGTGTAAGGTGATTGTTATAACCCCAGTAGTAATCTGGCTGGATAACTGTATTATGGGATGGTTGAGGTAGCTTTTGTGTGTTCACATAACTACCTGCTGAAGGCTGGACAGTCTGGAAATTTCAGCTTATAATTCCGATATTTCATCTGTGAGAAATATTCTGTAAAATTGTGAATTTGTGTTGACAAGTAAAAATTCTAAAATTCATAAAGTATGTATAACTACAAATACTAACTTGCTGTGCTGGATTGGCTTCCTCTTGGTGCAATTATCATCAAGGGTCAGTTCCTGCAGAGATGGTCAGAATGAGACAGACTTCTGGCTGTTTTCCTGTCAGACACATACCAGTAAGGAGAGTGTTAGGAGCCATATTATCAGCACAAGTTTGATTAAGATTTACTACATGTTTTTAAAAGCTGCATGCCCTCATATATTGCCAATTGATATCATGTTAATGTCTCCATTTGTCTTGGTGTTACCCCTTTGATGTGGAAATCTGAACAAACACTTAGGTACATCTTGCTAGTTCTGGGTTGGACCCGATTTGACTTTCAGAGTAAGGTCCTGGAAACATTCCGCAGAGATTTTAGTCCATACTGGCATGAAAGCATCTCATATTTGATGCAGATTTAATGTGAATCTCCTGTTCCAGCCTATGCCCAAGGTACTCTATTGACTGGGATCCAGTGGCTGTGGAGGGCTTTTTTTCCAGAGTATCTGTGATCGCATTTTCATGTTTACTAAACCAGTTTGACATAACTGGAGCTTCGTAACTGGAGGCATAATGTGTTCAGCTGGAAGCAGCCATAGGGGTTCATTCTAAAGGTATGGACATGGTCAACAACAATACTCCGGTAGGCTATGTTGTTTAAATGATGCTCACTTGGAAATACGGGTCCACCGTGTGCTAAGAAAATATCCCCTAAGCAATGTTTTTTCCCCATCTTCTCAGACAACTAAAATCAGTTTCCTGTTCTTAGCTGCCCAGTGTGATCTTCTGCTGTAGCCCGTCCTCTTCAAAGATTGCCCATCCTCTTCTGATGTATTTTCACACAAAGAACTTTTCGTGACTGGGTATTTTCACATATTTTAAACCATTTTCCCCCATACAGTCATCCCCTGGATGACTGTATGGGGGAAAATCCCAGCAGATCAGCAGTTACTGAAATACTCAAACCAGCCTGTCTGGCACCACCAACAATGCCATAAGACAGGTAACTTACCTTTCTTCCTCATTCTGCTGCTTATTTTGAACTTCAGCTGAACTTAATGCTGAAATGCACTTAGATATTTGTGTTAATGACCAACTGAACATGTATACCTAATGAAGTGGCAGGTAAGTGTTACCCCCCTCCCCTCTGCTATGCTTAGCTTAATAACTGTCAACCAATTTTCAAACTGTCCTGTCTTGCCAGGATCCTGAATTATATATATATTAGTTAATAAACATCTCATATCATTCCTCGGAAGACATTCTGTGTCAAGGTCACATCATCACATGGTTTCAGAGCCACTTCTACAACACTGCACTTCATATCTGCTCTTACAAAGGGGGAAGTATTGTGCTGAACTTTTTTTAACATAAAAATGTGACACTTTTAATCCTGCTTCGCTCCCATATGAACAAATTCTTGTGAATTAAATCTCACCAAGATCATAAGTCCACAAATGATTCACAACAGATTAGATCCTCTTACTGATAGAACTTTAGTGTCTTAGCTCTAGGCATTATAACTGCTTTTCATATACCCATCTTTATAGACCATAGTCATATTAATTTACTATGGCACAATCGTTTGGTTGATCAGGTTCACTCGAAGTTCACGTTGTCGGAACAGGCATTAACCAAGGTTTACAGTGCCCCCTGCTGGGCAAACTAAACAGTGCGTTTGCAAAACGGTGCCAAAAGTCTTCTTTAAAACACCTACGCACCTCACCTTTCATCCAAGTGAACTTTGAATTTTTAGTCTCCGCCCACTCAGTGTCGTTACCCGATGTGAAATAATATCGGTCTTAAGTAAGGAGCATTAAACCCCACATAATAGAGGAGGTTCTTCTGGTGAAAAGAAAAAAAATCCTTACGCCCACATGCTTTCATTTTCACAAGAACGTTTCGGTATGACGGGTACAAGTGTTTGTTAGTATCTCTCTCTCTCTCTCTCTCTCTCTCTCTGTGTGTGTGTGTGTGTGTGTGTGTGTGTGTGTGTGTGTGTGGTTATTACTCATGTTGTGAGGACCTAAATCCGTTTATACAGTCACATTGTGGCGACTTTTTATAGGGATAAAAGGAAGGCTTAGAGGTCCGACTGGGCTTCATGGGCGGTTATGAGTAAGGTTGGAGTGTATTTCCAATGTAATGTGTTTTAAAACCATGAAAGACACAGCTGTGTCTGTGTTCATTCCCCATTTAGACTCGGTTCTACACAAGTGCTCATTCAGATTCTCCCAGCTAATTAATGAACACCTGTAACTTTTTTTTTAGTAGTTTTCTGGTTCTAGTTAGCTGTTTTTACACAATAATGTGTCCTTGGTTGGAGTTTTGTGATCAAATGCATATTTAAATAGTTTACTTTAAACGGTGACTACATATTGACTTCAAAAAGCGGTTTTAAATTTTTACAGTTTTACATTTAAGTCTTTTCCTGAATGCCGTCCGCGTGGCACAGTGAATTCACTCTCTTTCATTCACCTTCCTTTGAAACGAATCTACCTTCGTGGCAGCTCTGCAAGCGAGGGGGGAAACCGAAAGTATCAAATGAGTTAAAGCTTTCGCTTTCGCTTCCAAGAGCCCACTTAATTTTAGTTGCGACTTCTTCATTTAAGCTTGCGGTGAGATCCGTTTGTGTTAAATTGATAAACTTTTAGTCTGTTTTTGGTCTATTGTGCCGTACTTAACATCACATAAGAAGCTCGGACGGCAGCGAGATAAAAAATACTGGTATTTTTCCAGTTTGCAAGGTGGGAACGTGATTAAACTGTGCTGGGTCAACTGTGCACATGTCTCTGACATTTGAAAGTGGAATTTTGTTCTTCTAAGACACAGTATGTTCTGAAGATGGATGACGGGGCTAAGTTGCACCTGAAAGAGTGGCTCATAGTCCAGATAGAGAGTGGGGAATATGAAGGACTTTGCTGGGAGGATGAGAACAAAACTATGTTCAGGATACCGTGGAAGCACGCAGCCAAGAAGGACTACAAACAGACGGAAGATGCGGCGTTGTTCAAGGTCAACATTTTCTAAACTTTTATTTTCCAAAAATGTAAACGTAAAATTTGCCGAAAATACTGTTTGGGGGTGTTTTAAACTGCATAAATAATCGGATCCCAATTTGCCATTGCGTTGAAGTAATTTGGACGATACCCTTATTTCCTGCACTGGTTTATTGTCATAAGAACTTAAACCATAGCAGATGCAAAGGAAATGAGAAAAGATTCATTTCACTGAACATTAGAAGTGGAGGGTGTTTATTTTCGCCAGATTGTTGGACGGTTGCAGATGGTCGCATTAATGAACTGCAAGTCTTTGTTAGGAAGTGTTTTTTTTTAATTATTATTTTTTTTTATTTAACTTTAACTATGTGAGAGAAAAAAATTAGTCTACTGATAAAATCCGTTACTTTGCTGTGTTGGCCAGGCCACTATTAGGCCTGGCCAACACAGCAAAGTGCTTTTTAATGGTCACTAGGAGGCAGCCAAGTTTGACTGAACAGAGGCGATATGGACTAAGGTTATATAAACTAGAACTAGGTATAAAATAAATAACTGGAAAAAACAATAAAAAAAATCACTGAATAAAACTAAAACATAATTTTCAAGAAAGAGAAAAAACCAAGAAACGAAACCTAGTTTCTCACTAAAATACAAATATTCAGTAAAAGTTTGTGTTGAACCATTTTGTAATACAAAATATCCATGTTAAAATCTCAATAAACTAACAGTGTTTGTAACACAAAGTAAACAAAAACTCACAATTTTCAAAAATTAAAAACTGAAACTCAGCTTTGGAAGCAAAATGAAACTGAACAGATTTAAAAGCAAAAGCTGAAAACATAATGAAAAAGAAAAAACGATATTAATACAAAGCTATAATAACTAGACTATATAAGATAACGGTGACTTCACTGGATTTATTCATCTGAAAGTATGTGGTAAACAATATATTTTTATTTACGTATTTATAGCACATAAATAATTATTTTATATCTGTTTCAATAGATGTTTGGTTTATCACTTTATTAATGCAAGTCAACTCAAATTTATTTATATAGCACCAAATCACAACAGCAGTTGCCTCAAGGTGCTTTATATTGTAAGTTAGAGAGAGAGAGAAAATTGCAACAATCCAAGCCCTCCTATGAGCAAGAGCTCTGGCAACAGTGGAAAGGAAAAACTTCCTTTCAACAGGAAGAAACCTCCAGCTTACCCCGGTTAAGGGAGGGATGGCCATCTGCTGCGATGGGTTGGGGATCAGGGGAAGAAGATCGGAAAGACACGCTGTGGAAGAATGCCAGAGGTTAATAATAACTCATGATTAATTGCAGAGTGGTGTATTAACACATAGAGAGTAAAAAAGGTGAGTGAAAAAGAAAAATTGTGCATCATGGGAAGCTCCCAGTAGCCTAGACTTATTGCAATGCAACTAAGGGGGGATTCAGAGTCCCCTGATCCAGTCCTAACTATATTCTTTGTCAAAAAGGAAGGTTTTAAGTATTTTAAGCATATTTATGAAATAATAAACCCAAAAGTCTAAAACTGCTATTTGAAAATATCCATACTTGTTTTTAAAGCAATTCATTTCAATTTTTCCTCAATGATGGTTTGATGAATTCACACTTTTAATAATTTAATGATAGAAAAGAAGATTAATCAGACACTTGCAGATGATGAAGTGCATCAAAACATGCTTTAAATATGTTGAAGTTTAGAGTTACATTCAGTTTTCTTTCATGCGACCACTTCTAAACATAGATTGTCTCATATTTTAATCTTTGTATTCAGGCTTGGGCTGTGTACAAGGGCAAATATAGGGAGGGCAGGGACAGAGCTGATCCCACCATGTGGAAGACTCGTCTACGCTGTGCACTTAACAAAAGCACAGACTTCCAGGAAGTCCCTGAACGCAACCAGCTAGATATCACGGAGCCATACAAGGTCTATCGCATCCAACATGATAACAGCCAATCCAGGCCAGCAGGTAAAAACCGAGTGTAAGAGTTTCTTATATATATCTTTGATCTATCTACAGTTTTTGAGCTTTTTTTAAAAATAAAAATTATCTTTACTTTACAGGGTATTGCTTTAACTATATAGTACAGTATATGTGAGTATTTTATTTGTGCTAACTTTATCTACTTGTTGCTCTTCTCAGAGTCTATTCAAATAAAGGATCAAGTGATGCACCATGCCAAGAGGTCTCCAAGGACCCCCGCTTATCTGGACAAATTGGTAAACTAACCCATACAGCCAATAATCCCTGGATTAGCAAAATATCTGATAGTGGATTATGCAGTGGACACACTGTAATAATCCTAAAGAAATGAAGAAAAAATCACTTTGCTTTTAAATGGGAATATTACTTCTATTATTTCTTGTTGGCACTTCATTGCAATCGAGTTTTGAACGGAGTTTAAAGAGTTATCGATTATACTATTTTGGATCTTTCCATTTATATTCTTTGCATGATTACGAGTTTAAAATAATCCTCATTTAATTAATCCGGGGTGTTAGTACAGGTACTCAATTTATCTCTGCAAGCTGTTTTATCTTATCTCCTTGTATGTGAACTTTCTTCTGATTGGTTGTCCCTCATAAACAGAAGGTGTGAAGAACACATGTAGGTGTTCTTTGCTCAAAGCCAGAACTATGTGCTTGAGATAAGTCAGTGAAATATCTGCTTTCACTGACATAATACAGAGCAGTCAAACTGTCTGAAACCAAGAATTTAGAGCAATCTGAAACCTGATGACTACTGCATATGCTGGTCAACTTAATATAAGAAACATCCATGAATATAAATAGATAAAAATGTAAAAAAAAAAGTCCCCTTTAAATGTGTATGTGTTCACCATGGTACACAACAGTGTGCACCTCCAATAAGAAGCTTTTGCTGTTATGTTAAAAATGTTACTTACAGTGGGGCAAAAAAGTATTTAGTCAGCCACCGATTGTGCAAGTTCCCCCACTTAAAATGATGACAGAGGTCAGTAATTTGCACCAGAGGTACACTTCAACTGTGAGAGACAGAATGTGAAAAAAAAAAATCCATGAATCCACATGGTAGGATTTGTAAAGAATTTATTCGTAAATCAGGGTGGAAAATAAGTATTTGGTCAATAACAAAAATACAACTCAATACTTTGTAACATAACCTTTGTTGGCAATAACAGAGGTCAAACGTGTCTCCTGATGACACCAGACAAATGGATGCCCTTTTTAACTGTATCTTGGATATAAGATCTTGGGTGGCAGAAAACTTTTTACAACTTAACCAGGACAAAACTGAAGTTTTAATTGTCGGTCCTGAGGCTCAGAGAGAGAAACTCTTGCCTAAATTAGAGGCATTTTCACTATGTCCTTCGCTACAAGTGAAAAACCTGGGTGTTATTTTTGACTCTGAGCTTGGTTTTATCCCACATATTAAACATGTAACTAAAATTGGATTTTATCATCTAAAAAATATAGCCAGAGTCCGCCCTATTCTCTCTCGGGCCAACACGGAGATGCTGATGCATGCTTTTATTACCAGTCGCATTGATTACTGTAATGCCCTGCTCTCTGTCTTCCTAAGAAGAATATTTCAACTTTACAACTCTTGCAAAACTCGGCAGCTCGTGTGCTGACGAAGACCAGAGGGCGGGCCCACATTACACCGGTTTTAGAATCGCTGCACTGGCTCCCCGTGTGTTTCAGGATCGATTTTAAAGTTCTTTTATTGGTTTTTAAATGTCTTAATGGTCTTGGGCCTTCTTATCTCTCAGATCTGCTTTTACCATATGAACCCTCGCGGACCCTGAGGTCCTCTGGTACTGGCCTTTTGATTGTCCCTAAAGTCAGGACACATACTCACGGAGAGGCAGCTTTTCAGTGGTATGGTCCTCGTCTGTGGAACAGCCTGCCGGAGGAGCTCAGGGCCGCAGAGAACGTACATGTTTTTAAGAACAGGCTCAAGACCCACCTTTTTAATTTAGCTTTTACTTAGCGTTTATTTATTTTATGCTTATTTATTCTATCCTGTTATTCTATTATTAATTTAGGATTTACCTAATATTTGTTTGATTTTATTCTTATTCGTTTTTTAATCTTCTTATTCTATTTATATTTATATTGTATCCTGTTCTTATTTATTTTATCATTTTACCCTATATATATTGTATTGCGTCATATCTCCAGTGTTTCCTCGGAGGGCGCTCTCTGCACCGGGGCTGTTATTGACCGTGGCTGCTGGGTCTCTGGGGTCCTCTCAGACTGGCTGGGGGGCTCCTTTGCCTCCCTCCTGCTGTGTGCCCAGCCTGGAGGCTGCGGTCTGTGACCGGCTCCCGGTGCAGACGGCTCCCTGTTATAGTGTTTCCTCACTTGGCTCATGCGAGCCCAGCCCAATTTTTACTCTTTAAGTGTGCGCGTGTGTGTATGTGTGTGTGGGTGGGGGGATATATGTGTATTGAGAGTGTGGGGAGTGAGTTGGAGGGTGGGGTGGGCTGCTTTTAACTATGTAAAGCACTTTGTGCTACATTTTCTCTGTATGAAAAGTGCTTTATAAATAAAGATTGATTGATTGATTGATTGATACTATAGGTCTTTACCAGGTTTGCACACACAGTAGCTGGTATTTTGGCCCATTCCTCCATGCAGATCTTCTCGAGAGCAGTGATGTTTTGGGGCTGTCGCCGAGCAACACGGACTTTCAACTCCCGCCACAGATTTTCTATGGGGTTGAGGTCTGGAGACTGGCTAGGCCACTCCAGGACTTTCAAATGCTTCTTCGGAGCCACTCCTTTGTTGCCCGGGCGGTGTGTTTTGGATCATTGTCATGTTGGAAGACCCAGCCTCGTTTCATCTTCAAAGTTCTCACTGATGGAAGGAGGTTTTGGCTCAAAATCTCACGATACATGGCCCCATTCATTCTGTCCTTAACACGGATCAGTCGTCCTGTCCCCTTGGCAGAAAAACAGCCCCATAGCATGATGTTTCCACCCCCATGCTTCACAGTAGGTATGGTGTTCTTGGGATGCAGCTCAGTATTCTTCTTCCTCCAAACATGACGAGTTGAGTTTATACCAAAAAGTTCTACTTTGGTTTCATCTGACCACATGACATTCTCCCAATCCTCTGCTGTATCATCCATGTGCTCTCTGGCAAACTTCAGACGGGCCTGGACATGCACTGGCTTCAGCAGCGGAACACGTCTGGCACTGCGGGATTTGATTCCCTGCCGTTGTAGTGTGTTACTGATGGTGACCTTTGTTACTTTGGTCCCAGCTCTCTGCAGGTCATTCACCAGGTTCCCCCGTGTGGTTCTGGGATCTTTGCTCACCGTTCTCATGATCATTTTGACCCCACGGGATGAGATCTTGCGTGGAGCCCCAGATCCAGGGAGATTATCAGTGGTCTTATATGTCTTCTATTTTCTGATGATTGCTCCCACAGTTGATTTTTCACACCAAGCTGCTTGCCTATTGTAGATTCACTCTTCCCAGTCTGGTGCAGGTCTACAATACTTTTCCTGGTGTCCTTCGCAAGCTCTTTGGTCTTGGCCATGGCGGCGTTTGGAGTCTGACTGTTTGAGGCTGTGGACAGGTGTCTTTTATACAGATGATGAGTTCAAACAGGTGCCATTCATACAGGTAACGAGTGGGGGACAGAAAAGCTTCTTACAGAAGACGTTACAGGTCTGTGAGAGCCAGAGATCTTCCTTGTTTGAGGTGACCAAATACTTATTTTCCACCCTAATTTACGAATAAATTCTTTACAAATCCTACCATGTGAATTCATGGATTTTTTTTCACATTCTGTCTCTCACAGTTGAAGTGTACCTCTGGTGCAAATTACTGACCTGTGTCATCATTTTAAGTGGGGGAACTTGCACAATCGGTGGCTGACTAAATACTTTTTTGCCCCACTGTATAAGCCTCATGCAATGTTTATCTAACCTCGGTTTCTTTTTTTGTAGCCCCCAAATAAAGAAGAATCCTTTCAAGGAGACAAAGAAGAAAAAATATTAACAGGTAAGACTTACATACACAAACTGGTACATCACTATAGAACCATTAAGGATAATCATGACCACAAAGATCAAACGTTTTTTGTAAAAGTGTGCATTTATCCTTGCTAGGTTTCACACGTGGGCATGAGATTGTTATGGCATTTGGTCACCTTTGAGCTATTTGAGTGCTTGTTCATTTTCCTATATATGAGTTGACTGCAGTGATACGTTGTCCATGGCCCCATATTGGCCCTTTTCTGTGTTCCCAAATGGTTTGTGAGATGCCGATTGGGTAAACATATGATTTGGGTGAGAAGCTGGCTTACATTGGGATACTGATGCTGTTAACACAGTTATATTTTTGCTGAAGGGGTTCCTGCTGGCTGCAAAAAAAAAAGACGAAGCTCCATAAATCAGTCATTCTCTAAACTTCTTTAGACAGAATTAAATTCCATTTTGAACAGTTTTTTTTTTTGTAGTGCCAGAAGGAGTCTCATATTTCTTTTTGTCAGTGAAGTTGATCAACAACTGTTAGTTAGATTGCTGTCAAATAGTTTTTTCTTTATTTTTGGTCAAACTGGATTGGTAAGATAGTCACTCTTATGTCAAACTGTTTGTTGACATGGGAAAACTGTCTGTTGCAATCAGATGGTTTGATATGCCAACCCTTCTCAGAATTTTACTCAGCTTAAAAATAAAAGCAGCAACGTCGTTTTATGTGTGTTTTTTCTGCTTTAGAAAACCTGATGAGGGAGCACATGTACTGTGAGTTAGTGGAAAAACATCAAAACCCGGCCCCTGCACCTATAGCCTTCTTTCCTACACTTGCTATATCAGGTAAGAGCATTTTTAGGATTATGCACAGACAGGTGAACGTGTTGTTGGCTTTTTCAGCATATGGTCTGGAACACATACTATCTTTTGTGTGTATTTTTTAAAATAGAACTATTTTGTTATATTTTGTAACTCTGTAATTTGTTGTATTATTTAGTTTACTCTAGTTATTGTTCTGGCTTTCTTGGAGCAACTGTGACCACAGAATTTCCTCTGGGATTAATAAAGTATTCTGATTCTTATTCTTATCTTAAAGACTTCCGTATGCAGGTGATGTTGGTGTATCAGGGCCAGATAGTGACGAAAGTGACCACCAGGAGTCCAGATGGGTGTTTTATCCTGCAGGGACATGTTCCTTTGGGAAATGAGAAGATTTACGGACCCTGCACTGCCCAACAGCTTTCTTTCCCTTCCCCGGGCTCTGTATGCCAGCCACCCACTATGGCTGAAGCAATGAATCGCCTTCTTTGTCACCTGGAAAGAGGTGTTCTATTATGGGTGGCCCCAGATGGAGTGTTTATCAAGAGATTCTGCCAGGGCAGAGTGTACTGGAACGGCCCCATGGCCCAACACACCGACAAACCCAACAAACTGGAGCGAGAAAAAACCTTCAAACTGCTTGATATACCCACATTTCTCAATGGTAAGGCAGCTCATGCATACATCACAAATCTTTCCTCCATGCAAACAGGTGTTGTGTTTTTATCATCGATCTGAATATACCAATTATCATCTGCGCAGGTCTCCAGAACTGTCTACAGGGGAGGGGGCCTACACCCTCTTATGAGATTGAGCTCTGCTTTGGAGAGGAATATCCGGACCCCAATGTACCTAAAACCAAGAAGCTGATCATGGCTCAGGTGGGTGGAAAAACTTTACAGATTTACTTACACATTGTCACTGTTTAGCATCTGGTTGTAAATAAAATATCAAATATCCTTTTAATTTTTATTTGATTTGCTCATAAAAACAGGGGATTTAATTAAAAAACGGTTTTCAGTTTCAAATTAAGATTCATATTCTATAAATCTTCTACGCTATGAGTTAAAATGGTGGTCAAATGGCTCCTCCTGTCCATGTGTTGAATCATCCTTGGTCAAGGTATCAAACACCAAGTTACCCCCAGTGCATCCATCAGAGCATAAATGTTAGATAAAAGCACTGGATGAATGAGACTCATAGTGAAAAAGTGCTACTCTATATAAATACCAGTCCAATCCAATCTATGTTCCTTTTACAGTTCAGTGATATGTGACAGTGCATCTGATTGGCTGTCATCACCTTGTATGTTTTTAAAATACCCCACCTGGTAAATATTAACTAAATTTTATGTCAAGCTGAAAAGTCTTTTCCCTTCCAAAGTCAAATCAGGACTTTGGAACATGAAAGCCCGCCGTGCAGCAATAGTAATGTCAACCAGCAGAGGTCCCCATAAGCATATTAATTGTGTATCACAATGTCCTGTTGGTCAGGTGGTTCCCTTGTTTGCAGTGGAGCTATTGCAGAGGTTCAATTTGGCAGAAACTGAAGAGAAGCCTCTGACCATCACCTCCAACACAGCGGGAGAGAAGATGTAGGAGGATGAGGAAAGCTACCGTGCTTCAGGGTAGGCTTGGACAGTGTACAAGTGGATTACTGAAGGTGTGTTTCTTCCCTGTAAAGACACCCGCAGAGCATTACAGTGTTGTCAGCAGAGATGGAGATGTGTTTAAGAAACATATCATTGCAACACTGACCTGTTTGTAATGCATCAAAGTAATTTGCTTTTTATTTCTACCTTTTGTTGACTGTAAAGTGTTACCAAGTGCTCTGCAAACATATTGTTTAACCCAATAAAATGTGCTTCCAAAATACTGTAACATTAAATCTTTATCATGTATCCAATATTGATCTCATATATTTAGAGTAGTACTGCTAAGTAATTTAAATTCATAATGCTTTACAACAAATGGCATGAATAAAGTGACACTTGTAAATAAATCTATAAAGCTTTTTTTCCCTTTATTTCTAGCCAACATCATATAACATTCACAATTTTTAAAAATATACATTTTTTTGTAGCTATAACATTTAAAAAGAAAAATCAAATTTTTGAAAATAAAAAAAAACCACAAACTAAAGTGAGAGAGTGTGCTGAATCAGAGAATACCCGTATCTGAGTTTAAAATACTTTCATCATTTTCCCTGCCTTCAAACATATACAGTACATAAAAAATGAGATGGGAACAAAAGCGTACAGTACACAGGGGTCAAGAGTATTCACAAAGCATCATGTTCCAACGTGTTATTAGCACCATTACTCTTCAGCCATACTGCACTTTTTTACTCTTTCCATCATTCAGTTTTTAATGGAAAAACACCATGAGTGTCGAGGCGATGTGGCACAGACCTGTCTGTGTGGGTGGGATTGTCTGTTACGCAGTTTTCATTAGTGTTCTCCCTTTCTCAGAGATAATGTTAAGAACATATTGGAGAGTAATGCCTTGACGAACAACCGTTTGAAATGACTCCCAGTGATGAGAATAAAAAAAGGCTAAGAGTTGCTCGTACATTCACCTTGCCTGCCCAGGCCGACCCGTAGGCATCGGCTCAGAAGCAAGAAAAGAAGAAGAAAAAGAAAAGAAAAATGCATTGCAAAATTGACGGAGAGATTGCATTAAATCTGTTTAGCATATTTACTGTATATAACACCTGTAATGCAATATATATATAGTCAATTTTTGTTCATGTATATCTGCAATTCTTCAGTAGCATTAACTTTCATAACACTGATTGAAAATACCCTGCAGCAAACACTTTCGGTAAGTAGGTGTGGGGGACAACAACCATTACAAAAACAGAGTGAACACACAAGTGCTTGATTGTCTCACTAAATGTCATCAGTGTTTGTAAGCAGCCATCCAGAGAATCTTCAGCTGCTGCTCCTTTCAGGGCTGTGCTAAGTTAAATATGAGGGATGGAAAGGAAAGGAAAGGAAAGGAAAGGGAAAAAGGTGAAAGGAAAGGAAAGGAAAGGAAAAAGGGTAATGAAAGGAAAGAATGGTGGAGGAAGGGGCCTTAATAGAGTTGACTATCATTTGGGCAGCAGTATGGACACCTGCAAACTGTGTTTTCTGTTGTTTTTATATATATATATATGTATTTTTTAAATTTCCTTCCCTGCAACCCTGCCTTGAGGTCTCTCCATTGTTTGTCTTGGTTGGTGCAACAGAGACAAGGAGGGTGTGTATGTGCGCCTGTGTATGTGTAAGTATGCATGTGAGTTCTACTGCCACTTCATTAGCTTGGAGCCATGAGGTAAATCCAGGAGGCTTTCATCAGTTCTGGTTGAGGGAAGGGTGTCTGGGGCAGACCAGCGCCGTTTGCGTGGGCGCTGCTGGTCCTTAGCCAAGGGCTCTCGGGCCAGAGCGCTTGGAGGGGCCGGCACGGTTGGGTGTGGGTGTTGAGGCAGAGGGGGAGGAGGAGGTGGTGGTGGCATCTCCTCCCTGTGCGAACTGCTGGATTCTGCTGCAGCCCTCGAGGGTAGTTGCGTGCGATGGGTCCTGGAGCTGGTACGAGTGTGTGTCCGATGGGTCGGGGTGGGGGTGAGGGCCAAGCAGACATCACCCTCTGTGAGCTGGCGGCAGGGCAGGCTGTACAGCTGTGTGGTTCTCTGGGGACAGCAAGAAGACCAGCCTCTGTCTTGCACAAAGAACGGATACTCCACCAAGACCTTCAGTAACTCCTACACAAAACCACAACATTGTTATAAACTCAAAGAAAAGACAGTGCATGTCTGGCACTTATTATCAATACAGTGACACGTTGGTGTTTAGCGAAATGTATAAACCAACCTATAAAATGCAGCTTTTGACCAGGGAATATCAAAGAAATAGCAACCTACACTATGAATAATCACTAAGTTTGTCCTTTAATATTTTGGCTATCTACTTGAGGATTTATATCTATCAGTGTGTGTGTGTGTGTGTGTGTGTGTGTGTGTGTGTGTGTGTGTGTGTGTGTGTGTGTGTGTGTGTGTGTGTGTGTGAGAGAACATATGTCAAAGCAAAGCTGACCTGAGTGTTGCGGTCTGTGAGATGGACATGCAGGTGACTGAAGCCTTGTGTACTACTGGGGGAAATCTGCAGGACGGTGCAGGTGCTGAGGTGGAATTCTGGGGAGCTATCTGCACTCCTCAGGAAGTCCTCAGTCCTCAGCTCCTCCACCCGCTTCAGTCGCCCGCTGGCTAGCTCAATCAAAGAACCCTTGGTGAAGTGAGGTAGGAGTGCAGGGGGAGATGGGTGATGATGGGAAGGAGACAAATCTCTCCCTCTGTCTCTTTCTCTGTCCCGTCGTCTCTCACGCTCACTGTCTCTTTCTTGGTCTTTGTCATACTGTGATTGCTTCTGTTTTTCTTTATCTGTACTGCGCTCCCTCTCCCTTTGTGTGACCTTGTCTCTTTCTTGGTCTCTGTCCTGGTCTCTTTGTGGCCTGTCATGGCTGTTAGGTAGACCCAGTGGTGAGTGTGGTGAGTTCCTATAGTTGTGCTGTCTGGGGCCTGGCTCCCTGTGCAGGCTGTAAAGACTTGTTCCTGAGGAGCTGTAGAGTGGATAGGTTTGAGCCTGAGGGCTGGAGGGACATGCCGATCCCAAGGAGTAGATGATTTGGGTTTCAGCTGGTGTGGCCCCTAGGTGATCCAATAGTCCCCCTCTACTTGCCCTGGAGTCTGGTCCAAGAGGATGGGGACTGAGAGAAAGCAAATTGGAGCTGGTCTTAACTATTCCAGGCAGATGTCTATCCTGCAGTGAGGAATGTGGCTCAGCGGCCCCCTGAGCTTGAGAGTCTGACAAAAATGGCCCTCCAGAATGGATACGTGTTGTTAGATCCTCCTGCTGTCGCCGTCCACCATTGGCATGGGAGCTGTGTGGACTAATATCAAGCTGGGCTCTGCTGCTATCATTCCCATAGTCTCCTGTGAGCAGAGGCCTAGAGGCTGAGGCAGTCCTGCTGCCTGACCCATCCAGGCCATTGGGCCGCTTTCCCAAGTACCTGGGTCTCACTTCAACTAAGCTTGGTTCTTGGGAGTAGAGAGGGTGGTGGCCAAACAGGTATGATGGGGAAAAGAGAGAGGAGCTATAGTCCCGCCGACCGCTGTTAATATAGGACCACATCTCTCTGGGACTGGCTGGGAAGGGAGTCTTAAAGGATGAAGTAGAGGAGGATGATGGAGAAGGTGGCAGAGAAAGGGGAACCTCCCCTCTGAGCCACCTGGAGTGATGGGGCAGGGATGAGGAAAGAGGATCATCTCTCCAAGCGGGTGATCCTGAGCCCCTCCTTTCGCTGACCTGCCCTGTGAAGAGCGGAAGAGAAACAGTGGGTGAATAGCTTAGGGTCCATGGTATGGGCACAGGGAGGCCTGGTATTGGAGCAGGAAGGGGTGGAGGAGTATGTAGGAGATGCGGGTTCGGATTTGCCTGGACACGGTCCCTTTCACTGGCTTCTCCTCTCCCTATACTGGACCGACTCCGCAGAGGTACAGGGGGTTTAAACTCATCCAGGGGGATGTGGTGTTCTGCTGATCCTTGGCGAGACTCCCTCTTCTTCGGAGGGAGGCACTCTTTGCCGCGGTCAGGGCTGGGATTCATGGGTGGGCTCCAGCGGCAGTGGGGGCCCCCTGTTTATGGGTGTAGGCTAGGTCACATGGGCCTCACGGGAGAAAGAGGGGTGCAGACAGAGGGGAAAGCTGACACACAGCATCACTGTCAGATCACTGTGGATTCTCTTGTGCTGAAGCACCACTCACCTACAGAGAGGATAAAAGAGGACAGAAAACAGAGATAGGTGGGTAAACTTGAGGGAGGGGACCGAGACAGAAGTAAGAGAGATTAAGTGTGAACACTGAAGAGGAACAGTCTGTTAGGTCCTGGCATCAGTTGTAGTTAAGACTTAGCTGTCAGTCTGGTCAGACATACAAACAAACATTCTGCTGTATCAGGCAGATGGAGAGAAATCAGTTGGTGACTCCCTCTTCCAAACTACTTTAAAGAGGTTAGAAATTCCAAGCTTTTCTGATTGCTGTAGCTAATTAGTCATTACCTTTGCAGTGCGGTGGGACTGAAACCACCCAACTTACTCGATTCATTCAAACACATTACTCCCACATGTGGGCTAAAAATACATTTTGCAGCCAGTGAAGTTCAGAGGCAGTGCAGTATGTATGTGTATGAGTGCGCAAAAACACACACGTAGAGCACTCACAGCAGGAGAGTTTTCATCTCTGACTCTCAGGGGATGATTGGAATATGCAGATACGTTTTTGTACCACTTTCATGAACCACCCCCTCGACACCCTCGGGTGCTCTCTTTATTCTATATAAGCCTTACTACTAACACCCCTCCAACCCTTCTCTCTGAGACAAGCACATGGACAGCAACAGACACACAAATACTCCCCTCAGGCAGCTGTACTTACTCCCCCAGTGAAAGGCAAAGCTGGTCACCACCCACCCAAAGCTGACAGAAGCACTGTTGATATTACCACCAGTTGTTGTGGATACAGGGTATATGTCTTTGCATATTAATTATGTGTCACAGCAGGGAATGCAGGGGGAAAATGCGCGTCTGTTTGCGTCCCTGCACGCACGTATGCGATGTTTGTTTGCGTGCATGTGTTATTTTTCTTTTTTCCCTGGAAAAATATGTGAATGTGTTTATTTGTTTAGGTCTTTGTGTGCGTGTGTGTTTGTGTTTGAGTCCTCAAATGTGTCAGAGATTTTGCAGCCTTGTTTCATTCAGTGAGAAGTGCGGGGGAGCTCCTTCAATTCTTCTCCAAATGCTTTAAATGAGCTCTTTTGAAATGATGGCTGCCACGCTCTGAGTCCAGCTGTTCCCTCCGCCGCCACCGCCATCGTTGTTCCCGCCGCACCAGCCCCGCACTCACCCGCAAGTCTGTCTCAACTGCCTACCGACTCCCTGCCGTCTCACCATCCGCCACACTGTCAC